GAACTGGACTTCAATTAATCCCTGTTGAAGTAACTTGACATCACGGTTTGTTACTGTGGCAAAAAATATCGTCTCAAAGTCATTTCTGGAGAGACAAACGAGTGAACCATGTAGAAGTCGACGTGAAGATTCCCATCGCATTTTTGCCATCTTAGACACATCAAACTGTATGACATGAAGAATTCCATTATTGGAACAGGATGGTCTTATAATCCTGACATTCCGATACAGACGAATATCATTGAATCTCTGTTTGTCATCTTTTTTGCCTTTCCGGTATTCTGATATCCCGTTTCTTAGTGGCTGAATGTAATCTTCTCTTAACAAACGGAATTGAATGTCCAAGTAATGGTGCAAGTCATCATAGCTGCCATCAACCTTGTTCTTCCGTAGAAAAGGTTTCTCATTTAACTGCAGATCACTGAGATTAGGCAGAATCGGTAGGTGTTTGAAATCGTCGGGAGGTGGCATCGACTCTGTATCTCGATAACCCCGTTTTCCGCCAGATTGCATATTTCTTTCTTTTCGGTAATTGTCTGTGTCCTTGACAATGGTGTCTTTGATTAAAGATACTTCATTTATCAACTCTAAAATCTCTTGATTATGTTGCATGTTGAATGAAGAGTCTTGAGCAATGATATTCAGCATCACTACAGCACTGCTGATAGAATGTGCCTCGCGGGGCATGCGTTGCATCAACTCTTTCATTATCTTGCAAATATTTCGAATCAGGCACTCAAGTTGGGCAGGAGAAATCTCTACCATCTTGGACTGGATTTTACCAAGAAACACACTCACATGAAGCATCATGACGTTTTCGTTTACGAGTATTCCCACTAACTGTAGTTTGCTATGGCTTTTAGAAGAGAAACAGGCTTTCCCTAGTACTGATATCAGCAGTTTACTCCAGTCGTCATTCATGCTGTGTTTTTTAAGTAAAGTTTGAAATCCGCTATTTTCCGACAATATTTCCATTAGAATATCATCCGAATTGGTCTTTTTAGAAAGCTCTTCCAGCTTTTTGTATCCAAAAATTCTATCTTGCCTGGGACGGGAAGCACTTCTTTGTCTTGCATTGTTTGGGTGCATAGAATTTGCATCCTCTTCACTCGGTATGCTTGATCTTGTATCCAATTGGCCGAGGGAAGAATACCTTCTGAGGTCAAAACCTTCTTGACCATGTCCACCAGCAGATCCTCTTCTAGTCCCACCCCTACCTCCTCCACGACTGCCTCGACCTCGGTCATCTCCTCTTCGACTCCTTCCTCCTCTACCACCTCTGTCCCTTATTCCACCTCTGCTCTGAGGGAAGTATGTACCTATCTCTGGTCGTTTTCTACGACCCCTCGAGTTCTTTTTACTTTCTGTGTCATTTACATCACCTATTTCATCAGAATCGATGATTCTTAGAGGCCCTGCTCTGCTGAAATGTTAGAATATAGATATAGTAGATACTTCAGTTTTGAAAAACTATTTACAAATTTCTTGTAGATTGTTACAAAAACATGTTTGCTTTCAGTTAACGAAGAGACTTTCCAAATTGTCTACTAGGCAAAACTGTAACTGTCCAAAATTCTTATTGAAAAGTACTAATTTTGAAAATGTCATATATAACAATTATCCTTTTGGTTGAAAATGTGCTTGTAAGTAATATATGAAATCATTAATTTTCGTGAGGAATATAATTTAGTTTATTTCGTGGGTTTAAGTGAATTTATCGACGATGTATCCACAAAAAAAGTTATTGATTACAAACCATGTGTATGTGTAATATTGCTGGTCAAATGATATAAAATATGTTGTTTAAACCAATACAGATTATGTCTATCATGACACTTGAGATACGAAGCGAATGGAGTTTGTTTCAAAGAAGAATCAGTAATTTATGAATTAATAAACTTGCCAACCTAAATGGATATACTCTTTTGTAAACATTGTGCACACGATGGTTACTTATGTAGTAGGTGTAGAATCATGATGTTACAAACAGCATCACGATGGTTACTTATGTAGTAGGTGTAGAATCATGATGTTACAAACAGCATCACGATGGTTACTTATGTAGTAGGTGTAGAATCATGATGTTACAAACAGCATCACGATGGTTACTTATGTAGTAGGTGTAGAATCATGATGTTACAAACAGCATCACGATGGTTACTTATGTAGTAGGTGTAGAATCATGATGTTACAAACAGCATCATACCTGCTAGAATTGTAGTCATACTCATCATCAGAATCCATCATCTATGTAAAATTATCTTAGATCCGCCATGTTACATCCGGGTTCCTGTAATAATGGTAAAGTATGATTCCCAAACAATTTCCCCAACTGAATGCTTCTTCGCTGACTTTTCAAGTACACTGATACTTGGCATAGCACACATATAGAATCTGGCATCATTTTGAAAAAATCCTATGAGACTAATGGAAGTTCAGATTTCGTTAACTATTAGATCTGTTACTAATGGATGATTTTACGTTTTGTAAAATTGTATTTTATATTATGGTTAATTCGCACGTATCTTCTTGTTTTGTATGGAAAAGGGACACGTGTAAATTGTCAAATATTGTGAAATAAACTAAAAAAGAAAATAAATAAATAAAATGATGTTCATGAAGCGGGCTGCACAAATTTTGCAAGAAAATCCTTTTGCGTATGGTTGCTAAACCTTTGTGGTATGGTACATAGCCTGATTCTGTACGTCTCTGTATCATGCCCCGTAATAGTACTATTTATTAATTTATTTATTTGTGTTTTCATACATTGTGTTCCGTCGTAAACTGATTATATAACAGTTTCTCTTTGACACATACATGTACACGTAAACATCCCTTCACTTCCGCCTTAAGGCTAGGTTATCAGTGTACTGAAGGACTTCGTGCACTTATCAAACATGGCTGTAAACTCGAGATAGTCTTATGATCTGCTTTGATAACAGCATTATTTTGCTTTATAACTACTCTGATAAATTCACGCGTAAATAAGTAAACACTGAATAAGCTTTATGTTTAAAACCATGGTTCCATGTAGGAATGTAAAATACTTGGACAATTAATTAAAGTATAATATTATATATTATAATGTCATATATACCACATTTACAAGCCCATACAGAGTGAAAAAACGTACCAGCGGCCAAATTCCGTAAGATATTATTACAATCAGAATGAATTCCGGTGTCATTTGAACATAAAATGTGTCATGAAATATCTGACACAGTAGCTCCCTCTTATTCAAACTGGCGGTGTAATCATTTTTACATGTCATGCGAACTAAGTCCTTAGAAATGAGGAAGAGTCTGGACTAGAGAAAACATGTTTCTTTTACTGTTGACGATACAACTTATGAAAATAAGCATAAATATACGTTCAAGACTATATGACCTCCCTTGTTATGAGGTGAGTTTACATAGTCAATCACCTACCTCGCAGGTTGTGTAATATAGACCTACATATTAGACTGCAGGTTTACATGCCCAGGACGTCACTGAAGTGTATACAATCTATCTAATATCTTGAACGGCCTTCGTGATCCAGAACATATAATCTTCCGAGCTTCTTTAAAAATATTCTGGCACTAACACACCAGAAAGGTATGTGATTTCTAAAAATCGATGGCTGCATTTCCAATGAATACCTTTCAAAACAGGTTTTACTTTCGGTTTCCTCTTTCTTGTTACCTGGAATGACGTCACGTAGTGGGATATTGTGTGGCAGGCCAAGTCGCCCTACACCAGAAAGGGGTCATTGCGCAAACATCAAGGTTAAAACTACAACAAAATCATTCGTTCGTTTTGTCTCATGTGTGTTTCTTTTTAAACATTTAAAATCTGGAATACATCTAAGATATGAGAAGGAAAGGTAAAACTAAAACGCAATGTCGAGGAATTTTTTTCCCCTGACAATAATGAAAAGCACTTATTGTGTCTCATTTTAGAGTTAACGACTACAGTTATACGTCTGGTGTATTATTGAGGTTTGACAATAAAAGTGTAAATGTATTGATTTAAAAAAAAAAAAATTAAGTATCACTCAATGTATTGAAAAAAATCCATATGAATTGAAATCATTCTTGGTCTGAAGGTATTTTTAGAAGTTTTTGTTGCATTTCAAAATGGAAAATACTATATACTCGGTTGATTTGAAAAGTGGTGTTTTGATATAATATGCAAATGCTACTAATGTGGGATTCAACGGTTAAAGATAGCACCCAAACTTAAACTCTGACCAGCAATGCTGAGTTGCAGTAATTTTACTTCACTCCATCTTTGTATATAATGTACTCTCCTAAAATATCGGAATGTGGAGAAATGTCCTTAAGTCAGTACATATGTTTTTTTTTTTTAATGAGAGCAGTTTTACAGAGCATTATATTCAGCTATAGGAAGATGACCCAAGTACGGACACCAAAACTAACAAGTTATATCACAATTCCTTTACTAATCATAGCATTCCAGTTTGTTGGTGGGAACTTAAAATGGTGGCCCGTTTGAGAGTGTCGAACAAAAAATCCAGTAAACAAATAAAATAGATAAATCTGGGACATATAATTACTATCTCTGAATGAAAAGAAACACTGCGTCGGCAACTGCTTGATATCAACACTAATAGATGAAAGTGGCATTTTAAGAATATGTCCAAGTTTCTTCGTAGAAAACCTCGCCCGATACAATGTACTACATTATTCTAAATGGTGAAAAATGTGACATAACCTCTGTATGCTCGAAAGTTGATACATGTATCTCATAATCATATGTTAATGTGGGTTTTGTGACAAAAACGTCAGCAATGGTCGTTTTCGTGTATGGAATTTTCAATTTAAAAAATGAGCTTACTGAATAATGAATTTATTTATTTATTTATTGCTGCCAAATCCGCACTTGCGTAGGTCCGTTCAAGGATTAGATTTTCTTAGTGCGACCGTCAAATCCGAAACACGAGTAGTCTCCCCTCGCATGAGAATCTTTTGCGTGAAGGAAGAGAATGGTGTTAGACAGCCGGCTGACCTTAAAGTCCACATGTTGTTTAGGATATATCGCCAACATATTGCTTGTTTCTGAGGTAATGCAAGTTTTGCATCGGTTGACGCAATTGTATATATCATCTTTCTTGTACAGGGATGTCAATTTTTGATTGAATCCAGACTTGATGTCAGTTATATTGCCATTTATTGAGGCGGACGAGGAGTCTTGGCTTGCTAAAGTCTCCGCTGTCAATATGTGCACATTTGTAATTTTGTACATGGTAATTGACATTGTGACGAGTGAGACTACTAATTCAAATATTCTACATGTATAAGTTTCCTCGTCCTAGAGCGGGGTCGTCCCTCACACGTAATGCAGGATTTCCCTAGGTTTGACAAAGGAATATCTGCGTATGATTTAATCTTAATCTGTACATGTACCATGTGATAGATGAATTTCAACACTTATTGTTGTGTGCCCCTGTGATCATGAGAACGCAATATAGGTGTAATTATTTGTTTTGATAGAATTTTGGTTTTTGGGGGGTAGGGGGGAGGTGAGGTCAGCATTCTGTAAATATCACCTACACAGTACAAGACATAGAATAGTGTATATGTCAAAAAAAAAGGACGTATGGATTATATAAGTTATCTTTATAAATATTTTTTTTCAGCAAAAGTGTACAACAAAATCTTTTCAAAATAAACAGTAGTAGAAAACTGAATAATTTTAAAATGACTGGACAATCATTTGTGACAATGGATGATACCATTTGATGTTCATAAAATAAAGATGCATTTTTCGGCTTTTTACAGCTGAAATACCACCCAATATTGTATATCACTTTCAGCCAGAAATATGAAAATAATCCTTCTTAACATTGTCAGGTTGACTCATGTACGTTTTGTGATGTCATTTCATTTTGTTAGTATTATCATTTTTTTATGAAAATGAGATTCTCTTCTTATTGGTTGAAAAATGGCTGGCCATTGGAAAGTCCACACTAAATAACGTATGTGGCATGGTAAGATAAACATAAATTTAAAGTGTGATGGAAAAGGGTCTTAGCTTTCTTCACAGTTCAAAAGTTCAAAGCTGATGCCAGAGATGTCTCCACTGGGCCTAGTTTCTTATCCCTCTGTATTATATTTCGTTGGTTAAAGGGTACTAAATTGTAATTTTGTTTTGGCCACATTAGCATGATAGAATTAATTTTATGAAAACATATGCTGCACCTGCATGTATGTAATCAGTCTTTTGTATTGCTATCTAAGGGTCATTAATTTTTTTTTAATTGGGGGATTGAATGAAGGTACCATCAAATTTTGTAAAATAAAATAAACTTATAAAAGTTCATTTGATATTCCTACTGTTTAGTGTAAACAGCATTACCACTTTGTAGTCTTTTTGTGAATTTGTTTCACGGTGGATTGCAGGTGATATTCAGTGAATGCTTGGCCATTTATATGTTGACAAATCTCGGTATTCACCATGATTAAATGTTTTTGTAAAATTGTTTTTGTTGTCATCTTCTTTTAAATCTTGCTATTTACAGGTTTATTTAGCAGAAAAGCAGATCAACCATGTTTCCACGTAGTATTGGTATAAAGTTCAGTGCATCACAGTTTCACATGATGTTGAAACGGTGTAAATTACTGACAGGTCAGTTTCACAGAGGATCTGTAGAATTAGCTTCGGGTGAAAAGATGTTAGAAAAACAAGACAATCAGCCTGAAATCCGACAAGATGACCATCAGAAGAAGTCGTCAGATGCAGAGTTATCTAAGAAAGACGATTCTGGACAGGTCCAAATTCTCACTGAAGATCAATTGCCCCCTGTAAAACCTAAAACACAAACACCTTCAGAACACCCAGACCTTTGGAAAAATCCAATAGACATGAGAATTCTGCCAAAAAAATTTGTAATAACTGATCAAGAAAGGAAAATGTTTCAGTTGTCTACCTATATATTCAAAGAAGTGGGAGAATTGGGTAGAAACAAAACCAATTTTTTGAAAGCATTGAAATTATATGAAGAACGGGAGAAAGTGTACCAAAGAGGCCTTGTAGAGTTTTTGATGACCGGTTTAGATATTATGAAAGAGTGGGGAGTACATAAGGATAGGGAAGTCTACAAGGCCATGTTAGCGACTTTTCCGAAAGAGAAGTATCTTCCAAAGTCAAAGTGGATGGCAGAGCTTGGACACTTTCCAAAGCAACAGCAGTGTGCCATAGATATACTGGAAAAAATGCAGAACAATGGTAAGATTGATACAAATTACAAATTGACCATTGGCAAGATAATTCCAAAAGTTTTGGGGTTTTTTTTATAATAAAGTTAAGAAGCTCCTGTTGACTTACCATTCATTAATACAATCAATACATAAAGAATATTTGGAACATGGAAAAAATATCGCAATAACCAGGATATCATAATATCCAATATTACGATGAGTTGATTCCAGTGTACCATCAAAATATGAGTCTGTTGTGATTGCCATAGAGGAAACTGTAACAGAATAAAACATGTTGTTGAGCATATGCCAACCAACATATACAGTGAATCATAATCTTCTAAAGAATGAGGAATGCTTTTTTTTTCTTTTCATTTAAGGTGTGATACCAGATGAGAAGATGGAACAAATGATAGACGAGAGATTTGGAAGTAGCAGTTATGTGGTCAGGAAGTACCTGCGTATGATGTACTGGATGCCAAAGTTCCGCCATGCTAATCCTTACCCGATACCCTTCCACCTGCCGGATGACCCTATAAAGCTGGCCATCTTAGCACTACGACGTATGGCAGTTGATCTCAACAACAAGATAACTGTCTGGAAGGTAAATGTACAAACAACCAATCCTGATTTTATACTAATTTGTCTAAACTTCTGCGAACATACAGTGATTTATAACAAGTGGTTTTACTAAATTCAGTTGGAGTCCATGATATACATGTTACCTGTAAAGTTTGGTGTAGGTAGAATATTGTGTCAAGGAAAGTGCTATATTCCCTCTAAATTGATGCACTAATTTATTTCAGTATTAGAAAATTTAATATAGAGAAATTTCTATGATTTCTGCTGTAAATTTCACTTCTTTTGAATGTAATATTTCTTAAAAGATTTAGCAAAAGGAAATTTTTAATGGTTTCTTTATGGTTCCATTGTGAAATTTTACATCTTTTTGATATACTGGTAATAGTACTTCAAAATTTAATAAAAAGAATTGTCAATGATTTCCTTGTTAAATTTTGTATCTATTGATTGTATGGATGTTTTTCACTGATATTCTGATAATGTGAAAAACAAGTCTATTCTGTTCAACTGTAAAATACATATTACTTTTCAAATTGGTGGTATAAATACACATTGCCTGTCAATCTCCACTTGTAGACTGTGGAAGTTGAAGAAAACCCCCTGGAGGACACTTTCATTGTGGGTGCACAGAGTCCCGAACAGGCAGATCTCATTAATGCTCATCCTCCAGATATCCCTCTAGTGGTAGAAGGCAGCTTCAGCATCTGGCTTCGAGATAAACAACTATTTTACTTCGTGTTAAAATCTGACCAAGGTAGACCTCACACACCAGCAGGAGATGTAGATGATGGTAAGATTATTAAAAAATTTCTCAAGGAAGAAACATTACACAGGAAGAAAATTGAATAAAAAAATTTCATCAAGAACAGTCTTTGAACCATTCTTTACCACAGCACTGTTTTTCTGGAAAGAATTTTCGCAAAGGTCATGGAAGTACCTGTGTAGACCGGTTCTTGCACACATTCTGTGTCTAACTAAAGTAGAGACAGATTAAAGTGACTACCACTGTGGCTAGGTGTTCATAATAGCTTTATTATCTTTGGTTAATCAGCGTTTTTGACTAAACAGTAATCATATTGAAAGTAGAACCCTTGGATTTTGAAGTTGCAATGGTTATTGTGGTACAATTTTCATAATTGTTACCAACTTCTAGTTAATTATCACCAAGAAAAAAATAATAATTACACTATTGTACAGTCCATCATTCTATTTGTAGGGATCTAGATCAGTAATTGTAAATTTTCTTTTGGTCAGATTCTGAGGTTGACTGGTCAGGGCTGAACCCTTACTTCACAGAAAATGAGGAAGATTGTTCCATCTTCGTTTCTCCCAGCATCCATAGTCAGGACACTGGTATAGTGATGGCTACTTGTGTAACAGGAACCACTTCTCGAGACTCTGTTGTAACATGGGTGCGTTACCTCCAGAAAACCAATCCCAAACTAGAACACATCCCAATTCTGTTCTCAATAAAAACACACACAGGTCAGGTAGCGGAGCAACAACCTACCTAGTGACTAGTGTTCAACATTAAATGAAGGTTAGTAAAGAAAGAAGGGGACATAACCCAGAAATGAAGTCATCTGATGTTGATATGTCAGATAGATCTTCAAAATCTTGTCCTAGGATCTCCTAGAGAAACAACTGGATGGAGTTAACCAAGGAAAAAAGGGAAGATAACTAAGGAAGTTGTGGATGTCAAGTCAGAAGTATTTATTTTGTGATATCATAAGTCACAGGTCAGCTTGATGTAACCACCATGGCCAGTGGTCATTAAAATAATGATTGTCATATGTTTCATCATTCGAAGGTGAAACGGGTGAAAAATTGATTGTGGATCAAAGATGTGAATAGGGAAACTGCTGACATATTTAAATATTTGGGGGTCATTTCTCCACTGTATATAAATCCTTGCTGAGATGACAATACATCTGCAAGTGTTTTTTCTTTCTTTTAGCTCTAAGTCAAATGTCATATGCAAATAAGCCTCTTACAAAGGAAGATAATCGTGGCAAACAAGACAATAAAATATGTCCCACAATGAGGCATATCTATTTAGAGAATTTTATTGGAATGCAGCTGTGAAATTCACACTATAAAATAATCATGTGATCAGGACATAGCAATGATAACAATAAAAAGCATTGTGTATTGGTAAAGTTTTTTGAAGAGTAATCCTTCTGTTGATTTTTTCATTTTTCTTTTTGAAACTAGTCTAAGAGTTTTGATGTTGGAATGTTTAGAAGAAAAAGAAAGCAACTGGACAAGCCCTGGTCCTCAGCTCTTCCAACACTAGGTATTTACCATCAATGAGTTTTTCTGGAATACCTGCAACATCAGTACATGTTGTCAATGAATAAATAGAAGTGAAGCAAGCGTTTTAGGAATTTAAATTATAACACTAGGTAACATCTCATTATAATGCAGGATTTTCCATCTTTGAGAGGGTGTACTTTTTCAAAGGGCTGGAATTTTTACAGTAAAAAAATAACATTTTTAATATTCCATTTTTAAATACATTAAAAACCTTATTCTTTCATGTTTTCAAAATAGTTGAAGCTTCATTTATCTGGAAATGGCATGTTGTATGTACTTACATTCTTTACATGTAAAGTTTGACAGTACACCAAACATCAGTACTATGCGGCATGTGTTGACCGAAACAACCATGTACGCTAATACTCGCACATATCTACTGTGAGACATGACATTTTCTATTTCATCTGCTCGGAAAGATCGACTTAATTGGTTTAATCCGTTCTGAAATTAAATCCAATGCAGCGGATGTATCCAGTCTCGTTTTGTCTGCTCGGGATTGATCAAACTTCAAATATGTATTCAAATTAACAAATAGCACATTGATAACATCCAAGACATTGATATAGGGTGCAAATTTCGGTAATCCAATTTAAGATTAATGACTTTTTCCTAATTTTATTTTGGCAAGAACTGAAGGTTGTACTACCTGGTAAATTTTAAGTTATTGGGAGTTGCTTCCCTTGAACCTGAGAATTTTTGTCCAGATACTTACCCGGATGGCTTGTTGCATTGATAAGATATTTGTCAGTGGTGACGTCATCACGGAACCATTGACATTTCGGGTCACCGAGTTCCTCACCATTTGTTCTGTTGTCGTTGTCGGGGTCAAGGTCACAGATTTCCGTCCAATTTAAGGAAAAAGTCTGTAGTACACGATTGGAAAGACTGACAATCATTTGGATTCTCAGGAAAATTTACTTAAAATATTTTGAATCATATAGATAGATTTTAAGCTTATCATAATACTAGAGAAAACCTATAAAAAAACTGATGAATATTTTCCGTGCGACGGGTCAATAGGAACTTTCCTTCATAACATATATGACAAATTGAAAACAAATGAAAGTGTATTCTGTAAACCTATGTTCTGATGATAGGATTCAGCTTTTTCAGGATTTGTTATGTTAGAGTCTGTGGGCCCCTTCATTCCGATTTGTGTGATAGCCTGATGGTGGAACTGAACTATACTAGCATATTGATTTTGATATATTATGTCTAAAATTGTTACAGTACACAGAACGGACGCCTGGACGAACGATCTCCACAATTAGATAATGTAAGCATGGTTTTCTATAGTATACCTGTCCAAATGAATTCCTGTCGAAGAGATTCGGCCAATGTCCAATCCTGCGAAATGTTTCGCTGGGCCCAGCCCCTGGACACGTGTAAGGCACGTGCATACTGTTAGGGACATAGGAATGATATTGTGGGTGGGGCGAGACAGAAGTCACCAACAAACAACAAAGAAAGATCGTAGTTTTCATTTTACACCAAGTGAACGCTTTTACTTAATATAAGATCGAGGATAATGTGTATTCCCAGAAAACAGCGCGCATAAATACATGATTGATTACCTGTGCAAATTAGTCTAAATACTTGGCAATTGTCTGTGATGCTTAATTGAAAATGTTAATTTATGCTATAAGTATGATAAGCTCGTTGACACAAGTATTAAGATTCTGAAATCGCATTTGTATATGGATTTATCTTATTCACATTCTACTTGATTAGTATATCTATCTATGATCGGCCTGTTATCAAGGAAACATACTGTTTTTGCATATATCACTAATGTAAAATACCTTGGAGCGTTTCTTGTTTTTGTTTTATTCAGAAATCGTTTGTGATGTTGTAATGCGATCTCTACCGGAGTTGTCGTTACTTAACAGTCACAATACTGCAATGTACTCTTCCTTAGTTTTCTGCATATTTGACTTTAAAACCTGTTAAAATAACTTTTCGAGGTTATAAGATTGAGATGAGATTTTCAAATGAGCTATCTATGAAAGTCGTCGCGAAGTTTTAATTTGTGCTCGCTAAGGCTCGGCGTAAAATGTTTTAAGACTCGTTTCATATATAATCTCATGTGAAAAAAAGACATTTATGTAGTAAAATATGTATACACAACACAAAACATTTGTTTGATATTTACAAATGTATAGTTTCTAAAACAATTATGCTAATTAGACAAAAAAAAAAAAAAAACCAGTTATAATTTATTATAAGTGTGTCAAAGTTTTCAATTTATCTAAAGCGTATGTTTTATTTTCATTCATAAATAACCTTTGAATTGAAATAAATTAAAAATAAATTTTAACTTTTCAAGTAGATTATTGCTTTTGTAATTAAGAATGGGCAATGATAATTTGAGGATGACGGCATGGTTTAAATATGTGGTGTCAATTGAATACCCTTACATAACGTACATGTTTGGTTTAGATTTTTTAGCGAGCTCTATCGACAATTATACATAGGTTACTCCATTGGATGTACATTTACCATATTATGCTGGCTTATCAACATTGCGAGAATGCACCCCGATGAAGTAATGCACCCCGGTGAAGTAATGCACCCCGATGAAGTAATGCACCCCGGTGAAGTAATGCACCCCAGTGAAGTAATGCACCTCGATGAAGTAATGCACCCCGGTGAAGTAATGCACCTCGATGAAGTAATGCACCCCGATGAAGTAATGCAGTAATGCACCCAGATGAAGTAATGTACCCCGGTGAAGTAATGCACCCCGATGAAGTAATGCACCCCGGTGAAGTAATGCACCCCGGTGAAGTAATGCACCCCGATGAAGTAATGCACCCCGGTGAAGTAATGCACCCCGATGAAGTAATGCACCCCGGTGAAGTAATGCACCCCAATGAAGTAATGCACCTTGATGAAGTAATGCACCCCGGTGAAGTAATGCACCCCGGTGAAATAATGCACCCCGATGAAGTAATGCACCCCGATGAAGTAATGCACCCCGGTGAAGTAATGCACCTCGATGAAGTAATGCACCCCGATGAAGTAATGCACCCCGGTGAAGTAATGCACTTCGATGAAGTAATGCACCCGGGTGAAGTAATGCACCTCGATGAAGTAATGCACCTCGATGAAGTAATGCACCCCGGTGAAGTAATGCACCCCGATGAAGTAATGCAGTAATGCACCCCGATGAAGTAATGCACCCCGGTGAAGTAATGCACCCCGATGAAGTAATGCACCCCGATGAAGTAATGCAGTAATGCACCCCGATGAAGTAATGCACCCCAGTGAAGTAATGCACCCCGATGAAGTAATGCACCCCGATGAAGTAATGCACCCCGGTGAAGTAATGCACCCCGATGAAGTAATGCAGTAATGCACCCCGATGAAGTAATGCACCCCGGTGAAGTAATGCACCCCGATGAAGTAATGCAGTAATGCACCCCGGTGAAGTAATGCACCCCGGTGAAGTAATGCAGTAATGCACCCCGATGAAGTAATGCACCCCGGTGAAGTAATGCACCCCGGTGAAGTAATGCACCTCGATGAAGTAATGCACCCCGATGAAGTAATGCACCCCGATGAAGTAATGCACCCCGATGAAGTAATGCAGTAATGCACCCCGATGAAGTAATGCACCTCGATGAAGTAATGCAGTAATGCACCCCGGTGAAGTAATGCACCCCGGTGAAGTAATGCACCTCGATGAAGTAATGCACCCCGGTGAAGTAATGCACCCCGATGAAGTAATGCACCCCGATGAAGTAATGCACCCCGTCAGCGCGTCAAAAAGGTCTTGTTGCGGAATGCCTTCATGTTGATCTCGTCGTATTGACACTGACGTGTCAAGCTAGTTGCACCATCTGTTTTGCGGTAACAGCCACGACAAATGGAAATTTCCACAATCTTATATCATTTGTCGGACTTCTCTGTGTCCAACTGTATCCCAGCTATCATTGGTCACTAAAATTATCCAACTAATTAGACTCTAAATTACCCATCGAGCATAGAGATATCCATCTGTGTGAGGAAACCGTTGGACCAGGAGAAAATCCAGATGTAGTAGGGAAGGTGACCCGGTTACGTTTTATGTCATGTAGGGAGTTGAAAGCTATCCTCTAGTATAGCTCATGCTGATCCGCAATAGTTACTTCCCTTCATTTCGTTCATACAGGAAACATTCTGACGGGCTGGTGTCTGATCTGAGCATATGTTAGTCAAAATGCCTATCCTTTGGTCTAAGTCCTGAGTAATATTATTAAAGGATACCATCGTTAGAAAGTTTGATTAATTAATCACTTGATCAGTATACCGGGCATGCTGAAATTACAACTCACAACTTAGCTGGTGACTTACTTAGCAAGGTTCGGGAGACTGTTGAAATGACAAAGTAGGTAGCAAAAACGATAGCTATTACATAGTGACAGTAGACAGTTACTCTTGGTGGTCTACGTCTGTCGCCCCTCAGGCTGTACAGGTCTTCCGTCTAACAAACAAACCAGCGTGACAACAAGGATGTGATAGTTACACGAGCTGCTGACGTAACCAAAATGTGGGATCGCTGATTATCTTGACAGATTTCAGGCAAACTGTTCAGTGATGCAACCACCAGTTACTGCTTTAAGATATCTCTGCAAAGTGAGTCGGACTTATTCACACACACACCGTGACACACTTCACAAAAACTCCGCTAACATCTACCTTGTGTACCGCACAAAATCCACCAATACATGTTAACTGTGACAACTAATTAGCTGTCATATTTCCCGCTAATTATTCGAACCTTGTAAAGTTAGCTTCAAACAAATACATGTAAATAACAACAACAACAAAAATGGCGTTTGGATAAACTGATTTGTTCAGGTTATCGCGTGCTTTCCGGTTATTATTAGGCTTTTCCGAAGAATGGCAGTAAGAATCGAGCTTTCCATTTGACTGATGGTCGTCTGTCTTTCCTAGCGAAGGAAAGGAATGTTGTGAAATAGTATGAGATGATTTATCAAAGTAAGATGATTTATCAGGAGGCGTGTCTCTCTATGTGTTGATGTGTGTGTGTTGGGGAGGAGGGGGGGGGGGGGGGGGGGGGGGGGGGGGGGGTATGCCGTAGTTACCTGAGCACAAACAATGCATGTATTATTGTATTGAACCTTATATACCAAATCTACATAAACACATTAAATGTTATATTACTTGTCACTCATGAACTCATCCTGTGATTAACACTGACTCACTCCTTCGCCTATTGACTAACTTGCTGACACTAAATTAACCGGGAACCTTCGGCAGTTTCCGTAGATTCCCGATTGACATCAAATGAGACAATTTGATTACCTCCCCTTGTCAATTGGGGATAGTGAGACTACTGACAATATTACACTTCATATATACACTTTATTTCACAAATAAATATTTAATTCTATCAATGCAGTTAAATATTTATAATGATTTTTTACATATGACCTGCGAAATGTTCTGAAATGTTGGCGCAATTTTGTTTTGTGAGATAGGATATTCTACAGTCACATGCCGTTTGGAGATTTGTTTTCATCAACAACATCCTTATCTTTCTCTCGCAATTTTTGAAGGCTAACAATAGCCGTCTTGTCAAAAATCAGAAGCTTAATGTCAATTATAAGTTATCACAATGGTATCGAAGTTTTATACAGCATACATGGTCTCGTTGAACTGGACAATTGAAAGTTTAAGGTTTGGATGACAAAAAGTGAGCAAACAAATAATAATTATAAAAGTGAAAAAAGGAAACTACCCATACAGTTTCAGATCACATTCGAGAAGTATCGGACACATAAAAAAGAAATAATATTTAAAATTTAATCTAATTAATGTTATATGTTATATTACAAAGACTATTATCTTCGTTTCCTCGGAGGCTCAGGAAGAAACATGTGCTCTGTAAACACAAATGTATATGGTGTCTTTTATTTATCACATAGAGTTGTAACAAAGATGTAAGACTGTTAACCAGAAAATGATTTAAGGATAGTCAGGAAAGAAACAGAGTTCTTCAGTAGAAGACGAAACAGAAATTATGCTAACAACTGTAAATTATGTGATGTTAGCACTAATTAATTTGTCTGTAATCCGCTTGTAGTCAAATGATAAACATTCACTCCATTTTAAGAAGACTGGAAATATTTATGAGGGTTTTTATTGTTATGTCCTTTTCCATTTACAAATTTCATCTTCCCTTAGAATGCTAAAACTACTGATCTCCACACACTAAATACAATTGTTGTTTCCTATACTAGATGTCCCAGTGATCCGATTTTACCAATAAACATTATGACTTCACTCTAGTTGTCTTTTTCTCGTCGAGTTTTGTTCTCCTCGAGGTATAAAGAATGTAACAATGTGAAATAACCCGTTGAATCTTTTTTCCTTTCCGACAGACGGTACATTTTAAATGATATATCAATAACATTCCTAATCTGAACAGAAGCCGAATGTCGTGAATTTTCCATTCTGTTGTAGAATACTCCTTTCTTTTATATGGGCTGTTACTTGACCGATACTCTTTCGTGTTGATATTGTTGCTTATAGAAACACCAAGCAATTCTACATCTCCTTGAGCTTGAGCCATTATATTATATTAACGGAAATCTCCTTGAACAAAGCGCCATCCGTAGCTGAGGAACTACTTCGTAACGTTTGGATGTTTTATTGAATACCTCTGTGATTCCTGAAACGACACACAACAAACAATTTAGAAAACAAGACTTGCAATAAAGTATGTTCTGACTAACTTGTAAGATGTTGTCCAGTCTACAAATACAAATTTGAAATCGACCAGGCGTTGTATACATATCTTTGCAGGCAAGATTTATGAAAGTTATCCTTATTTGTCTCCGGAACCAATTTCTGTTGTATCTTTATCGACTGATTATGTGCCGTCACACTTTCCGGATATTTCGTCCGTCCGGCTCTACTCATATGCACTTACCATCTTCTTCCGGTTTATGAAAAATGAAAGAAAGTACTTCCACAAGAAATCCTTGCCTGCAGATCGTTATAGGGTAATTAATTAGTAAAACTATATATAATCTTGTAAATCAATGGTAGAACATTCCAAATAACTTCAATTTGTGTCATGACAATCATGCTCTTTTTAACAATATGTATTTTCGCATGCTGCCGAACTTCTGTATACAATTATGTAAAGCGTATTTCGAAATGTATGCATGTTATGTACTTGCAGTTTCCACTCTGTCTCAAGGCGAGTCAGTGTCGGCAATAAACTGAAACGTTCTTGAAAGTTGTTTGCACAGTGGAAACCTGCGATCGTCTGTAAGCGGCCAGAAACGAACAGAAAAAAAAGACAGATGAAGTGGTAAGTCGAGATTTTAATGAATCCAGGGTTAGAAACCTTACGGGTGGAGGGACGGAACTGTATGAAATCCACATCCAGAAGCACATGACATCCCTTCTCAAAACAAGAAGCTGTATTGACGCCCTACTGAATGAACCAACATCCCCTCTTATAGATATCAACTCAACATTCATGCACTATGAAAAGCTGTCTTCAGACTTTATGAACTTCCTGAAAAGAGCTAGAACAGAAGAAAGTCTAAAGGAACTTGCTACACACAAATATGTATTAAATACTCTTAAAATGAGAAAAGACCTTATTGTACAACAGAGAATATTGCTGAAACCTGCACCCCCATCCACGACTAACCCAGAGAAACACACAGAAACACTACCTTCAGAGAAAATTGATAGAGATGAAAGATGGTCCCAGTACTCACCACACAGATCATCCCACAGACCAGGTTAGAACACAGATCTCATAGATCATCACAGGGTTCAACTCGGTCAGATGTCAGCTCAGAATACCTTCGTACTAAGGCTAAGGCCGAAGCCGCAAAGGTCAGGCTTATGTATGCGGAGAAAGAGGCCCTATTAGAAAGAGAGGCAGCTGAGAAACAAGCACAGCTCAAGATTATAAAGACAGAAAAGGAATACACAGAGGCAACAGCGAAGCTTAAGGTGTTGGATGAATATTTTAATGAAAACTTGCCCCCACCAAGTATCGAACTCCCAGGTGAACAGCTCTCATCACGCAGCAAGGTTGAGTTATACCTTGACAGCCATGGACCATCCCAACCAAAACCATTCAGTTATGTGCAGAGCCCAGGCCCATCCCAGAATCTGAGAAGTAAGCAAGTACCTAGTGTAAGCTCACTCCATGAAACCAACTATGACACACCTTTTGAGTCAGAACTGCGAGCTCAGGCCTCAGAGTTCATCCCTAGTTATCTCCCCCCTCCTGATATGTTTGCTTACTTCCCTCCTGTGACCCTTCAAAGGAATATCCGAGGAACTTTAGTGCTGATGAGGAAATAGACCTGCTAGTAAAATATCTGGGCCCGGAATCCAAGCGTCACGCAGAGAGCCTGCGAATAGCCAATGCAGCCAATCCTAAGCTTGCGCTGTCCAAAATATGGACTAGACTTGAACAGCGGTACGGATCTCCAGAGCTGGTAGAACTGTCGCTTAGACAAAAGTGCTCTCCATTAAGGAACAAGACACCTACAAAACTCTGTTGTCCTTCTACGACACATCAGCGGGAGTCAACCCGATAGTCACCAAACTTCCTGTTTACCTTCAAAACAAATGGACTGAACATGCTGGCCGTCATAAAAGAAAAAACAGTGTGATGTATCCCCCATTCAGCATATTTGTTGAGTTTATCAGCGATCACGCCATTAGAGCAAATGGTCCAAGCTTCGACTATGCAGCTAAGGTAGAAAGTAAAGCAGTAAGCGGTACTGAGAAAAGAAAGAACCCTTTGGTGACTTCATATCAGTCAAAGCCCATTGCAGTCCACAAGACAGAGGTCACCCAAAAGGAAGTAAGAGAAGTTCTCTGCCCACTTAATACACTTCCCATAGCCTGAACGATTGCAAAGCCTTTCAAAAGAAGTCTATAGAGGAGAGAAAGAAGTTTATGAAAGAGAAAAGTGTATGCTTCAAGTGCTGTGCAATAAACCAGCACATTGCAAAGAACTGCCCGGAGTCAGTCTCCTGCAAAAGATGTCAGAGTCCAAAGCACTGCACAGCGCTGCACATGTCAGGACCAGATGTTCCATCCAATAGTACGTCTACACCTACTTCCATGTCAGTCAGCTCCAGTGAGGAAGTCCAGACAAAGTGTACTAAACTGAATTGCAAGGAATTCTCTGGAAGATCTTGTGCTAAGATTGTGCTCATCAAGGTTTATCATAACACATCTCCTGGAAACTTTAAGTACATCTATGCCATTATTGATGACCAGAGCAACAAGTCCCTCGCTACATCAGAGTTCCTCGATCATTTTGGTGAGACGGGACATGAAATGGAGTACACCCTAACATCCTGTGCTGGAGTATTTACTATGTCTGGAAGAAGAGTCCATGGTTATGTTGCTGAATCAGCAGATGGCCAAACGAAGATGGACCTCCCTACCCTGATCGAATGCAACGACATACCGAACAATCGGGAAGAAATCCCTGTACCTGATATAGCACAGCACTACCCTCATTTGATCGATGTTGCACACCAGATACCTCACCTTTACGACGCCCCTACCGCGATCCTCGTTGGCAGGGACATGGTTGATGCCTACAGGGTGCTTGGGCCCTAGAAACACCCCCTTTGCTCAAAAGCTAGGCTTAGGATGGGTTCTTATCGGGGAATCTTGTGGAGGAGGTACACATTGGTCAGAGATGGTCAACGTCATCAAAACCCAACTGCTTATCAACGGTCGTGCGTCAGTCTTTGAATCCTGCAGAAATTACTTCAGCACAAAAGAAGCACCATTGGAAGCCAACTGCCTGTTTGAAAGGACCCTCGCGAATGAAACTAGAGGACTATCTATAGAGGACCACCAGTTTCTCAACATCATGGCTACAGAAATGGTTAAAGATGACAACGGGCACTGGGAAGCCCCTCTTCCTTTGAAACCTCTACGACAAGCCCTTCCGAATAACAAGAATGAGGCCATGAAGCGAGCCAAGTCCTTGACCGCTAGCCTAAAAAGAAACCCTAAAAAGCGAGAGCACTTTGTACAGTTCATGACGAAAATATTGTCTAAAGGGCATGCAGAAACAGCCGCTGGCGCTAACGGTGCTAGTGAACGATGGTATTTGCCAATATTCGGCGTCTACCACGCCAAGAAAACAGACTCTCTCCGAGTTGTCTTTGACTCCTCTGCCAAAATGCCAAGGTATCTCTTTAAATGACACCCTGCTTAAAGGGCCAGACCTTACGAACAGCCTCCTTGCTATCCTCTTAAGATTCAGAAAAGAACTAGTGGCATTTATGGCAGATATTAAGCAAATGTTTCACTGCTTCTATGTGAAGAAAGAAGACAGGGACCTCCTGAGATTTCTCTGGCATGAAGACAATGATCTGGATAAGGAGATCATCGAATACCGCATGAAGGTCCACACCTTCGGAAATTCTCCATCCCCCGCCATTGCCACCTACGGTTTACGCAAGGCGGCTGACTCGGTCAAACAAGGCTATGGAGAGGATGCTGCGAATTTGTTCATAACAACTTCTATGTAGATGACGGTCTATTGTCTGTACCTGATGCTGAGTGTGCTATAGATATCCTCAAAAGAACTCAAAAGGCGCTCTGGGAGGGAGGTCGACTCCGTCTCCATAAAATTTCATCAAACAGTCAAGACCTTATGGAATCCTTCCCTTCTGACGATATCGCCGAAAACCTCAAGGACCTTAGTCTCCAGGCAGATGACATTCCATTTCAACGTAGTCTTGGCATTTTCTGGAATATCGCGCTAGACGCGTTTACCTGCAAAGTATCCGAGGAACAAAAACCATTCACCAAAAGAGGAGTTTTGTCCTCTATCGGAAGTCTCTACGACCCCCTTGGCCTTCTCGCGCCTATCACGATCAAAGGAAAGATGTTCTGCAGACAAATTATGGATCTTACAATTGCCTGGGATGACCCTCTGCCAACAGGACTGGAGAAGGAATGGCAAAGGTGGAGGTCCTCTCTTAGTCTTCTAGAGAACTTATACATTCCTCGATGCTACGGCACTGGTGTTGAAGGAAAGGTGGTAAAAGAGTTACATGTGTTTTCCGATGCTTCAACAAATGCCATTGCTGCGGCAGCCTTTCTGCGCACTGTCAGCCAGGGAGGAGACGTGGAGGTCTCCTTTGTGCTTAGGAAGGCTAAGCTTGCACCAACAGGAGGACACACCGTCCAACGCTTGGAACTGTGCGCCGCCGTACTTGCAACGCAGATCAAGGACATAGTTGTCTCTAGTCTTGGGATAAACTTTGACAAGGTTAAAATGTACACCGATAGCCGTATAGTACTGGGCTACATCTTCAACTCGACAAGGCGCTTTTATGTGTTTGTTGCAAATCATGTCCAGAGGATAAGAAACTCTACTGAACCAGAGCAGTGGACTTATGACCCAAATTCCTTCAAGAAAGCCCAGGTGAGATAAACGCCATCGCAAAGGAATCATTCCCTCTTGTCAACCCAGTATCAGATAAGGACGTCCGGCCCGAAGTGAAAGTGACCAAAACTTCGGTAACAGATGGAGGAAACTTCGACGTTACGACCCTCTTTGAGAGGCACTCAGAATGGGATTCGCTCGTGCAAGGCCTTTCCTACCTCATTCACTTAGCGAGGTCATTCAAGAAATCTGAAAACCCTTGTAAAGGCTGGCACAAGTGCTCCAAACACAAGAAAGCGAACTTCAAACGGGAAACAGAACTGTTCATTCTTCTCAGTGTTCAAAGGAAACACTTTACGAAGGAGATCGAATGCCTTCAGTCACACAGGAAACTTCCCAAGGACAGTTCCATACTCTCCTTGACACCTGTTCTTGATAGCCACGGACTTCTTCGTGTTGGAGGTAGATTGAACAAGGCCAATGAATCCCAACTCTCGACTGATTGTAATCCGATAATCATCCCCAAAGGATGCTATGTTGGTCTACTCATCGTGCGCAACTGTCATCAGAAGGTAGAACATCAGGGCCGCCATCTTACAGAAGGGGTCGTTAGGTCCTCTGGGTACTGGATAATTGGAGGAAAGAGGCTTATCGCCTCATGTATCCACGCATGCGTTACCTGTCGTAAAATGAGAGGCAGTCTTGGAACGCAGAAGATGGCGGATCTCCCTGTCTCTCGCATAACACCATCCGCTCCATTTTCATATGTTGGTGTAGATGTCTTTGGCCCCTGGCAAGTGACTGCCAGGCAAACCAGGGGAGGTGCTGCAAATTCCAAGCGCTGGGCGGCGTTGTTCACCTGCCTCTCTACTAGGGCAGTCGATATTGAAGTACTTGAGGACATGAGCGCAAGTGCGTTTATCAACGCACTGCGTAGATTCACTTCCGTCCGTGGTGAAGTATGCCAGTTCCTCTCTGACCGCGGAACAAACTTTGTTGGCTGTACTGACCACCTGAAAATCAATGCAATCAACGTGGAGGATGGTGCCGTTAAGCAACACCTCTATCAGTCTGGAATTACCTGGATTTTCAACTCCCCTCATTCATCTCATATGGGTGGGGTATGGGAAAGGATGATCGGGATGTCCAGACGAATTCTTGACTCCATGCTTCTTCAACATAAGAACAAGTGCATCACCCATGATGTTCTATCTACACTCATGTACGAAGTAGCTGCAATCATTAATAGCAGACCAATCACGCAAGTTTCATCAGATCCGGAGTGTCCCAGCATTCTAACTCCATCTTCCTTGCTCACCCAAAAGACCTGCAATCCGCATGAACCATTTGGTGATTTGACGCTGAAAGACATGTATAAGGCACAGTGGTCTCTGGTACAAGCTCTTGCCAATGAGTTCTGGAAGAGGTTGTTCTCTCGTGAGTACCTCAATCAGCTTCAAGCTAGGCAAAAATGGCAGCATGAGACCAACAACTTGAAACTGGATGACGTCGTTCTCTTGAAGGATAAATGTGCTCATCGGAGACAGTGGCCAATCGGACGTGTTGTGAATACATTCCCGAGTGGTGATGGACTAGTTAGAAAGGTTGAGGTAATGATCACTCGAAAGGACAATCCAACAACCTTTGTTAGACCAGTCTCGGAACTCGTCTACCTGTTAAGTGCTTCGTGAACCTTTAGTGGTTCAAGTATGGCCATCTTCGCTACCATTAAATTGACTGTGTTTTTACTAAAGATGTGACATTGCTATCTGAAATTTGTATGATCATTTACTCTAGTTGTGTTAAACCTAGAACATTTCACGGTGTTGATTACGAACTTGGATATGTGAATTTAGTCATATTGATCTACTCATTACTGTGTTTATTTGTTATAGTTAGAATTCTAAATTTGTATTGTACAAGAACTTTAAGTATTGCTGCAGCAATGGGGCGGGAGTGTGCCGTCACACTTTCCGGATATTTCGTATGTTCAGTATGTTCTGACTAACTTGTAAGATGTTGTCCAGTCTACAAATACAAATTTGAAATCGACCAGGCGTTGTATACATATCTTTGCAGGCAAGATTTATGAAAGTTATCCTTATTTGTCTCCGGAACCAATTTCTTTTGTATCTTTATCGACTGATTATGTGCCGTCACACTTTCCGGATATTTCGTCCGTCCGGCTCTACTCATATGCACTTACCATCTTCTTCCGGTTTATGAAAAATGTAAGAAAACAACATGTGCTTCCACAAGAAATCCTTGCCTGCAGATCGTTATAGGGTAATTAATTAGTAAAACTATATATAATCTTGTAAATCAATGGTAGAACATTCCAAATAACTTCAATTTGTGTCATGACAATCATGCTCTTTTCAACAATATGTATTTTCGCATGCTGCCGAACTTCTGTATACAATTATGTAAAGCGTATTTCGAAATGTATGCATGTTATGTACTTGCAGTTTCCACTCTGTCTCAAGGCGAGTCAGTGTCGGCAATAAACTGAAACATTCTTGAAAGTTGTTTGAACAGATTATGTCATTATTTTTTTTTTTTTTGGTATGGAATAAAGACTATGTTAATGAAAGCGTATAGCTGATGTGGATTAGTAGTTTTCATCATTTATGTAATCAAAGTTGGTGTGTGAAACATCTTCTTAAACCCCAATGATCAATAGCTAATTAACTTTCAAAAATATTTCCAGTAGAACACTGGACCTGTTGGAAATAGGAACGTGTACAGGAAGTGGCCTGACCTGGATGGCTGAATGGGGCTCTGAGTGACCTCCATGATCTTGGATAATATGCTTTCCACATACACCTCACATCTCCCAACTCGTAACCATTGTACAAGCCATCACCGTCAGAATCCAATCGACACAGAATAGTCCAATTTCCTCTTGTCCTTCTGAAATCCTGAAATATTCCGTACAGATTTAATGAAACTATATATACAAAAGTACTTGTTTATAATGATGATTACGATGAATTGCCATATTCTTTAACTGACAGTTAAAAATTTGCAATAAGTTAATAATAATATACACTACTAAATGCAAATCGACCCTTTTTTCTGTCTCTCTGCCGGCAAATTTGCATTTTGATGTATTTGCTGCTTTAAGTAAACATTGCCAAAATTCTCTTTCTCTGTTTCAAAATAAGTTTTTAAAACTTACCAATCCGAAAGGATTTCTAGCCGAATTAATTCCATAATGGCCAACAGCTTTAACATAGTGAAGTTCAGTTTTCCCATCAACTATTTCTGTACGACAAGGATCAGGTACACGCCTGGAATTCGGTATATAATTTTTAAACGGCGGATAAGCTACACATAGTCCTATAACAATACAGCAGAGAAAATGGAGAACAAGTTGTTGAGGAGTCATCCTTACTGCTGCTGTTTTAAAATGAACTTCGATGTCTGTTTCACAATGTTTTATTAATAGTATCGTGTGCTGATATTGAAATTGACGCAAATGAAATTGACATTCTCGATGAATGGATAATGACATCACTGGTGGATTTTTTTCGTCTACATTTCATTACAACAACAGATGACTGGATGGGAAGGTATACATTGAAATCGATGTATCAGAAAAAGGATACTTTTGTAATTTCAAATTGAAGACTTTCGAACACTATCATTTCTTTTTAACTTTCATATTTCAGTATGAAATGAATTTGACTTGAAGTCGAATTGTGTATTTTTCTAAGCTTCTGTCATGTTTACAAAAGTCAAATCCTCCAAATTATTGTGCTATTGTAAATATATATATTATACAACGCAGTTGTGAATCACATGCGCTCTCCCTCTTTCTCAGTATTGATAATGTAAATGTACTACTAAATTAGCCTATTAGTAAATAGAAATGTGCATACTTTTATAAAATATACTGACAATATATATATATAATGTTTATCCTTTTCGATAAAAACAAACCGGAAAACGTCGGCTGATTGCTGATATTCGGAAAGTTTGAGAAACGGCTTATACAATATGTAAGTACACGTTACAATTTATATTGTTTAATCATTTGATAATAAACAAGGCATATATTAACTTAGTATCCTCCAACAACATTAATACCTGTTATACCTTAGCGGATTTCTCCCTGATATTGTGTACTTGTAATTATCGGAAGCCAAAATTCGACGCGACTTCAATTCGAATTATGACGAAAATTTCCTAATATTTCCGATCGATACAGATTATCTGTCGGAACTGATAACCATTGATAACGTTAATGTCATTCCGTACATATTTTAAAATGTGTGAGAAAAGCATTTATATGGTTGTAATGCATTTTTAACGTACATAATGATATTCCGAACATATGTATTAACTGCTCATTAAAAATGTTTTTTCTTCCGCCCATTTCCAATGCTGTGATTAAAATACACAGTCCCGTGAGTAATGAAGTGGTTGTCACTTAAAAGGAAGACCTCGGTGACGTCAGAAAGTTTTAACCAGTCAATTGAAAGGTCCCATCCTCTGGGGCGCTTTTTAGACATGTGATTGGAAAATAATTTAAAATTGTGATTTCAAGGAACAAAAAATCTGTTTCGCTAATGTCTTTATCAAGTTTGTCATCATAACAAGACGAAATACATTTCCGGTAAACAAGCAGAAAAAGATTTACAACGTATTAATATGTAAGTCATAAACCACATTGTGTATACATATATATTGCAAATACCACTTAGCATAGACAATGATATATATGGAATAGGTGATCTCTGTTGTCATGTTTGTCGCCGTATTTTTTAAATACAACAGGTACATTGACATTTTGTCATTCGAAAATTTGCTGATTTGTGCATATGTAAATTCAACTATATAGATGCACAAACCAGCCATCATATTTTTTGTGTGTAAAGCGTCGTTATAAAATGCTTAGAAGAGACAATTAAGAAAGCAAATAGACTGATTCTTCCCTCTTGCTTCCTTTTTATTTCGTCTTTTAAAAGCTCTTTCACCTCGACGATGAGTCACTCTTTCTGGATCAACATGATAAAGACTTCAGATAGAAAGAAATAACGAGGACATACTATTGTATTTTACCAAAAAGCTTGTCCATAAATTCCAAGACGAACATTAACATCGGACTTATTCTCTGAATCAAGTTTGGCACTTATATATGATGTACGTTTTCAGAAATCTCCCGTTTTTAGACATAGATAAATATTTATTATTCATAAGAAAGTCAGCAAGTCCACATCTGTTCGTCACTCACTAGAATTCCATGTTTTTGTCCGCAGAACGTTGTCTTATCTGTCTACTATATCGATAATGGCTTATATAATAAGTAAATAAATAAAATAAATAAAGTATTTTAACCAACGTTTGATTCTTGTGAACCTAATGGATTTGATATTTTAACACTTCAATCCATTAATACTTTCATGTTTCAGTTAAAATGTCTTCCTAAACCACTGGAACACTACGTTCGTCTGACATTGATGAGTATATACGGGCCGTTTAACGGATTGTCAAATGAAAGAAATTGTGGTTATGACATAACTGATGTTTGTATCATTTTGATATATCCATAATACTTCAGTTAGGTCCTATCTTTTATAAAGATAATGTTCTTGAATTGATCCCTGTTTCCGTGAATGCCTTCCTCAACAACTCTCTATGAATATCTTTTAAGGGTTCTCCACTTTTAAATCTTTTTTCCTTCGATAATTGTTCCGTCATTCCGTCAAGCCGTTTTCCTTTCTTACATAGCCCCACTTTCTCCAGTCATTCCTCCCTTCGAAAGGTGTTTGAACTTTATCGATGATAAAGCCGTTTTTTCTTGTTTTTTGAATTGTTTTCATCCTTTTTGTTTTTGTGATTTGTTCTCGTTATGTTATTATCATTTAATTTGTTTTTTGTTTTTCATTGTTTTTATTCTTGTGTCCAACATCATGTTTAAAGACTTCATTATATCACAGGAGATGTCATACATAAATGGCTTTGCTGGCATTACACAAGTTTTATTTGAAAATTAAAACCTGCTATTTGAACATTTTGGATTTTCACAGCATCTGGTTGATTTCAGCGACCGCTGTTTTTTTCAGTTCGTACAAACAGTAAACACTGTCTTAGCGACACGACCTATCCTTAAAATGTTGATGGAAGAGGTCGCGCACCTCCTGTTTTCATGTTTGTAAATTAGATAGCTAATGACACCATTCTTACCTGACCGCGTAGATATCAAAGGTAACAGATGATATATTAAGGCGACAAGGAATGTGAATAATTATCGACCGCTGAGAGACCGAAAGGTCGTAATAGTGGACGTAAAACCCGTTAAAATAAATAAATAAATAAATAAATAATAAATAACTGAATAATTAAGGCACTTAATTTCCGTTGTTAGCTATGGTGATATATGATATATATATATCAAATGAAGTATTTTATTATTGTTCATGTGATATGTTGTTATAAATTACATTATTATTTTTATCATGGCTAGGAAATGACTGATATTGTTTTTGCTTCTTAGTCAAGAAAGTGCTTGTAATTCACTATTTGGTTTGAAATATGAACATGTATGGCTAAAAATGTGTGTGTATATGTGTGTACATGTATTTCATATTGACACTGATAATATGAAAAGTGTGAATGATGTGTGTAAGTGTGAAAGCACTGCTGCGTGTGGACACGTCTGTAATGTTATTTATGTCTTGTCTTAGTCAATAAAATGTTTGCAGTGAAAAAAGACACTCGAACGTCCGATCTTTCCATGGTTTCTTCGTGCATGACTTTTACATTGTTGTGTACGGAAGTCCGTCTATATTGATAAATAAGTCGATAAAGGCATATTGTTTAAAAGAATTGATAAAATAATCTAATTATGATAAAAAAAAAAAAAAAAAATTCAAGAATCCATCATTATCATCTGAAAACAAGAATGTAGAATTTTCGAAAATATCTGTACAGAGACATATAAACCCGAGAAAAAGTGGTTACACTTTTCGTTTAGAAAGACTTATCTATGGTGATGCCATGGAAATAGCGATTATCATTAATCGTAATATAATTAGTCTTGAATGACTAAAAACAAAAACAACAGTGAAGTGATTTAAAACGTGTTTTAAAATGTCAGAAGTGGTATTCGAACTCACGCCCACATACGTGGATCAGAACACTCGTCTCCGGATTGCAGTATCCCTTTACCATTGTTGATATCAAAGCTGTTTGAATTTAGTGTGACACTATCCAACACAGAATTTTACCTCTCCGATGGCATTTGAAGTAAGGAATATCTACGACACCGGAAGTACGTCTCTTCGAGGAGGACGTCTGAAAGTGAGTGCTTCACTGTTCAACGAAATATATACTTCTTTAATAGAGACTAACCAAACTGTATCAAAATTTCAGCACGTATTTAAAAGTTCCTTTTTTCCTGTTTGATTTCTTTTAATTATTTCATGAATTTTATCTGAAAATGATCCAATGTTGTTATCTTTTTTTTTTTTTTTTTTTCACATTTTTTAAAAATTTGATCATGGAAAGATTTGCTTTCTGTAATGATAAAATATGTTTTACATGTTTTGTATTAGTTATTTACTGTTTGTTTTTATTAACTTTTCATACTGTTGAGAGGTTTGTCGTTCAATGTGATCTGTTAAAAGAAGATACGGCAAGTGATTCCATGAAGCAGACGACACAAATGTTAAGACCGTGCACGTGCCTCAGCTGTCCAGCGAAACATGTACATTTCTTTCTAACTAGTGACGTATATGAATTGAAATAATTACAGAAAGGTATGTTTTTTTGTTTACTCGCATCAAAACGTCATTAAAATAAAGGATTTCTGTATTCATAGTAACAATTTTAATGTTTCACTAGATCGATTTGCTTCCGTACAATGTATATGGTAGAGGAAAGACATACATATTTTGTATCATTTTTGGTTGATATTTGTTAATTTGCTTTTGACAGGTTAGTAGGATATTTGTGCTTAAAGTTATCACATGATCTCAAAGTAATTATATAAAGATTTCCTTATTAAAGTGAAACTCCATTAGACGTCAACGTTTCCAGATGAATATCTACAATATCGGCATCGACGTTACGGGGGAACTATACATTGGTAACAATTAGTAATGAAATTTCGTATCCTGTTTTTACAGCGATGAAATACGGCATGACTTATGCCTTCATAAACTTTATCCGGACATGGATCTCCTAGGTATGAATTGATCAGGTTTTTTACCGAATCAGAAAATGTCGTGATGAAAAATACAATGTAGTGAAGGAGAATAATGAAGCTTGAAAGAAAAAATTATATGTTTGCCAACACGGGACTTGGGTAATAATAATCTTACCCCTAAGTTTGAGATCCCCCTCCCCTCTAACAACGAATAGAAAGCCAATGGCTAAGCTATT